GATCTAGTGACGTGTCTGAGAAAGCCTGTGGTTTATGTTTCGCTTATCCCTTGGAGATGGCCAAATAGATACAGATGTGTCATTTAATGTCATCCATCCCTCCTCTTGTCTGTGTTGTCAAAAACATTTCGTATCAGAAATTTCCTTCTGCAGTGACCTCCATGAGCAGACAATGAGTTGCCAGCTAAAAATGGAGAACAAATAAGAACAAAGTCTTACCTAGGAAATTTCCTTTGGAATTCTGAGTGTCTGCCTGTACTAGTTGTCAATTAAAAGACTAGGATGTCTTCCTTGTGCCAACACTGAATTTATGGGCCCTTTTTGTTAATTAGGTGGGATGATAACATTTAAATACTATGTGGTGGGGATACTTACTGTTCTGCCGAAAAGCACTCAGCTTGAAATGAGGCAATAATTTTAGCAATAAACTATTAAAGTAAGTATGATTCATAATCTTGGATCCAGTTAGCTCTTCATTCCTCCATTTTATAGCTAATTTCTAAGAGTTATTTAGGACCATGGTGTTGGGATGGTGAAGATGTTTGTGAAAAGTGAAGAATGCTACTGTAATCATCCAGTGACCGTTGTCTCCTTCAGTACTGGCTTCTAAAACGTCAGCAAATGAACTTCACCTTAAAAGTTTTTCTTTTGAAATTTTCCTTGCAAACATTTAAATATATACACGTGTACATTTCATTCATTTTCTGTTTCTTGTTTTGACTTGTTTCATCTTTTGTTTTTTTGTTGTTTTGAGTCAGAGCCTGGTTGTGTAGCTCAGGCTGACCTTGAATGCTCTGTATAGCCCAGTCTGGCCGTGAACTCGTGGGCATCCGCCTGCCTCAGCCTCCCTTGCGTTTGCACCACCACGCCCAGCTTTCGCATGTGCGTTTCATATAGCTCCTGATTTGGGGCCACCATAATTTAACCTGATAACCTTTATACTGTACTTTTAGGAAAGAAAGGTCTGTGATCTTTTCGTGTGTTTATGTTAAGAATGCTACTCTTTCTGTGATGTGCCATTTTCCTGAAAAATACACTTCTCTGCACAATTGACTTTCAGTTAATTTTATTTGTTACAGAGTTGAAGATTTGGAAATATTAAAACCAGAGGTTCCAGATTTTGAATTTGTTTCTGTTACAGTAGGAGCCTCTTATCTGACTTGATCTAAACTAGTAGTATCTTTGAAAACCAAAGTCAGTAAACTCAAAACCATTTTAAAAACATACCTATGTACCTTGTTTTAATTTGTATCATACACAGTACATAAAAATCCATTTGCCAATCTTGATACTGGACTGGTTTTTTCTTTAGGTTAGGAGTCCATTGATTGGTATTGGACCTCTTTTTGTTTTTTTGTTTGTTTTGTATGAGAATAATCACAATAAAAGGTCAGCAGTGAAAACAGTACTTAGAAAAACAATCTAAATTCAGAATATGTCTAGATTTTGATGATTTTTGTTTTACCTTTTATAACTGTCTGATGTTAAGAGATGTGTCATTTTTGAAACTTGGCTTAGTTGCCATCAACTTGTTTCACTGACACAGCTCTTCCTGCCGACGTCTTGTCCCTTTGTGAGGTGCTAGGTGTATGATTACACTAGTGAGCAGGCACGGTGGTTGAGTGCAGAGCCCCCGTCCCCATGCAGCATATGTGTGGCAGGTGTCCCTGGGAGCACATTAGGGACACAGCCTTCCCTGTCCTCCCTGTCAGTTCTATAGCAGGAAAAGGGAGAGTCTGTTGCCAGCTCAGTTTGGAAGGCTTCTGTGCATTCTGTTCACTGCATTTTAAAATTCATGTAAAGGTATCTACTCACATACACTTGAGAATAACATAGCATGCAAGAAAAAAAGATGATTCAAGAAATCTATCTCACAAATGAGACCAGCCTGAGAAGCTGTACCTTTTGCCTTTCAGACAAGTCATTGTTGCAAGATTCTTTTTGTCTAAAAGTAAGAAAAAGTTTTGGCTTTTTCCATTGTTAATTAAAAAAATATGAGAGGGGCTGGAATATGAGATACGGCTAATTTGGAAAGCTGTTTGGCCGTAACTACCTGCTACAGCTGAACACGTTCATAAACTGATCTGGCAGTTCGTTCCTGGGTGTATACCTGTCGGGGGTGTGTGTGTGTAGACCGTGGGGATGTTACGGGGATAACCGTGTTTGCTAATGTTAGATGTGTGTACAAGAAGGTTTATAGTGGCATTATTGGCAATGACCGAAAACTGGAAACAAACTCAAGTCTGTCAGCAGTAGGATGGATAAATACACTGGTGTGTTTGATTAACAATATTGTGCACCACAATGAGAATGAGATTACAGTGTGCAGCTATTGGTCAGTCTTACTGAATCTAATGAGAAAAGACAGCAAACAAAAAAATACATAGCGACAGGCAGGAGTCAGCTGTGGTGTTAGTGTCGCTGGTGCCTTTTGTGAAAGAGCAAGGGAAACGGGACGAAGGGAAGGACTACGGGAGGGTTTCACGAGTTCTGGAGACCCTCTGGGCCTGCCAGCTCATCTCTGAGCAGATTCCGTTTGAATTGTACACTCAAGATCTGCATACTTGCCGGGCGTGATCCCAGCACTCAGGAGGCTGAGGCAGGAGGATCGCTGGGAGTTTGAGGCCAGCCTGGGCTACATAGTTCAGGGCCAGCCTGAACTACAAAGCAAGGGCTGGGGATTTAGCTCAGTGGTTCCACCGCCTGCCTCCCAAGCTCGAGGTCCCGAGTTTGATCACCAGTACCCAAAAACAAGAGATTCCAAACTGAACTACAAAGCAAGACCCTGTCTCAAAATAACCTAAAAAGAAAAAAAAAATTGCCTACTTTTATTATGAGTGGTATACTTTTTTTTTTCCCATCCGTACCGGAGATCGAACTCAGGACCTTGCACTTGCCAGGCAACCAAGGCACCACTGAACTATATCCCTGGCTCTATGATATACTTTTTTAAAATATGACTATCTGATGGAACCAATATGAACTAGATGAACCGTGGAGAAAAGACACAGAAAACTGAGTTGAGCTCCACAAAAGGATTTGAGAAAGACTTAATTAGGGAATCTAATTAAGGGAAATAAGACTTAATGACTTAAATTGTACCATCTGTAGCTAATTTAGTTAGAATAACTTTTTTGGCCCAATTTCTTGTATTTTGCATACTTAGTGCTTAGATTTATGCAACCACTAAAGATTATTGAATGACCATATAATTATAGACCATAAGTCATTTTTGTTCCACTCCCCTGAAAAGTAACCTGGATCACCCTCCTCATGTCTAAGTTTGTATTTAAAACAGCATCAGTTCAATTCAGGATGAAATACTGCTTAAAAATTAGGCAGAACTTGGATTTTTGGACAAGAATACACTTCATTAGTTGACCTAATTTTATATAAGTCTCTACCCATATTTGTACCTCTTTTGTTTCCTTCATTTGAAAAGGGGGAAAAAAATCCTGAAAATATTCTAATATGTGTATGCTCAATTTATATAATGTCCAACAAAAATCACATACATATTAAAATAGGCTTCCGGGATTCACTGCATTTGCAAGAAAAATTTAAACATTTCAATAGTGTTAAAATGTGTGCTAACTTAGCACATTATTATGTAAATGACAGTGGAAAAGAAAGAAATGATTTGGTTGCCATAATTAATGGACTCATTCACTGTGTGGGGAGAAACACAGTTTTGTAAACTCTTAGTAAATGTGATTCCCTCCCCAATTAAATTATAACTGTCTCCCTTGTACAGTAAATTTGGATGAAAAGTAGTGACTTGGCAAAAGAAAAGAGTATGCTTCTGATAGTTAATCAAGTAAATAATCATGGAAAGTATTTGTATTAGTTTATATGTAACAGTGATATTTAAGTATGAAATGTTATCATTTCTACAAGAAAAATATTTAAAATAATGTGGCGTGACACAGCAGCATTATCTAATGTATACTTTCTTCTCAATAAATTTTTGTCTATATGTATTGGATATATTGATGAAGTGGTTTGAAATTTTTTTACAGTCCTAAAAAGATATGAACTGTAAACATAAAGGAAAGTCAGTGGCATTCTAGTGAATGGTTTTGTTTGTGGTTTCAAGTGTGTGTGTCTGCTTGCGTGTGCTGACAATTGCACCGAGACCCTCACATGCGAAGCACACGCCCTGCGGAGCTGCACCCCAACCCTGAATGTGTTCAGTTCCTAAGAACCAGATTTCTGTGGACACTGCTGTCTCCTCTCTCCGCCGCACCAGCTGTGCCAGAATGTCCTCCTGGAAGCTGAGAGGGCAGAGCTGACCCAAGCGGGGGGGGGGGGGGGGGCCCAAGGTGGAGTCTCTGTCCCCTCCTGGGGACAGGAAAGCTGGATGGAGCGTATGGAGGAGGGAGGGAACCGGAGGGCCCCAGGACTTCCATTGGGCAGCTGACTCCCCTGGCCGCCTGGGCCCACTGAGGAAGCGAGCCAGGTCAGAAATGACGCACAGTAGGAAGTAGCCGCTGGGATGGACACCCAGAGGTGAGGAGGGTAAACAGAACGGAAATGGAAATGGCCCAGCCGCGGAGCTCCCCTGGCATCGTACTGCCTCCTGTGCGTGTTCTTTGGGCGTGGAGTGCTGGGGCTGGGCTGGGATGTGTCTACGCACCCCTACAAGGACCACTGTTACTTGAAATCATTGCTAGGGTAGGAATGCTACCACATTAATGACCTAGAAACTTCAGGATTTTACCCACAAAGTAAGGAGGATAGAAGTAACTTGGTTACTGTGTCCCTCCCTCCCTGGTAGATTAGATGTGTGTAAGAATGAGTTTGGACAGACTTAAATTCTTCACGCACATTCTTCTGCTCTCCAGTTCCTCACAGCAGTGTTGTCATTTTCTTCTCAAGATGCGCATTAAGTGCAAATGCCTGCTCACAGCCTGTGTTAATAGCTTTAATACACGGATGGAAATTTCATTCTTTAGTAGTGATTTATCAAGCATATTTAACATACTCCTACTCTTTTATAGGATCTGGAACTTGGAAGGAAGGCAGACGGCTCACTTTGTTCTTCATTCCCCGGGTATGAGTGTGTGCTGGCATCCTGAGGAGAATTTTAAGGTTATTCTTTGTGACTTTTATCAAACTGAAGAAAGACAGATACAGAGCATACAGCCATGAGGAGAGACATCAGTGCCCTTTTGCCCCTCAGAGACCCCGGCACCATGCGTTGGGGTCTGTCCGAGTTCTTCCAGAACTGTTCGAGTTTTTGACAACCACCTTCTGCAAATGACAGTTATCGGAGTTCACTTTTTCCTGACCTTGAGCAGATTACAGTCTAAAACTCATGCCCAGATGCTCTAGTAGCAGCATGCAGTTAAAAAGAAAAAAAATTATATCCATGCCCCCGAGTGACAGGGTATATAAACAGAAAGCATCGGCGGAGTAAGGGAAGTTTGTCCTGGCCGCAGTGCTGTCTGTCTCCATCCTGAGCAGAGCTAAGATACTAATCATCCGCTGCGAGTTACTGTCAGCTGGCCCTGACTTTCACCTCACTGGGGAAACGAGCTGCTCGACAAGTGGCGTATTTGCCGCATCTTGGGCTTTACTGTACTGCTGTGTCTCCATAGAAGGCGAAGCGTTACCACACACTTGCTAACATGACTCCCTCAGCTGTTCTCTAGAGTTCCTGTCAGCTCCAGGCACCCTGCCCTCACAGACTCTTACCATCTCCCATCCTTTCTCTCCACGACTGTTCTTTCCTCAAGTTGATTCAAAAGGAGAGATTTGGTTAATCATATCAAAAATACAGTGTTCAAGTACGCCAGGCCCTTAGCATTTCTTATAACCCTCACGGCCCCTTGGCAGGTCTTCGACAATCCCCACTGACAGATGAGGACCCCAAGGTTCGGGAGATTCTGCCCCTTGCCCAGGGTCCCAGGCCAGTAAGTGGAAGAGCTGGCGGTGGAACCCATACAGCCTGGCTCAGTAATTTTTGCTCTTCACCCTCCTGTCCCTCCTACAAAGGCATGTCTTCTGTTCGCTATCTTTGGTCGCACAAAAAATTGGAGGCAAAGAAATGAGGATTTGGAGACATCTGGGGCCAGCTTGCTCCCCGCAGGCTCAAGATTAACTGTCCCACATAAAACAAAAAATACTGAGGCAAGCCCTTTTACACCTTTATTTCTAAATCTTTGATTCCATCACCTGTAGAACTTTGGTTCTGCTGTCCTCATCCTTGGTCTCACTAATCTCACTCTGTCAGCACTGCTGCTATTTCCGGTCATATTGTCAGCGCGTCCAATGGCCTTTTGCTCCTTCTTACTCCCAGGGCAGTCTTTTACATCACTGATCACCTCCTTCGTGAAACTCCAAGCTGCACTCTCCTGTTCTTGAACAACTCTGTACCATTCTTTTTACACTGCCAACTTTTCTTAGACTGTATTTGTGAATTGCTCCCAGGATCAGTTCTCATGATACCATACCATCACTGTAATAGGGGTGAAAGCCTTTAAGTTACACACTGAGTTATAAGGAAGAAAAGATTTTGCACGTTAGAATGAAGTACTCTATTTAGTGAATACTGACAGAGCAGGATTAATCAGGCCTCTCAGTATTTCCAGAGAGGATTGGCCTCGGACTATAGAAATGTGTTCTCCAACCCTCGGATTCCGGGTAAGTCTCCATTCTGCAGACACATTTGCCTTTGAGCAAAATCTTTCTGACCTTGGGCAGATTCCAGTATGCACCCTGATGCCCAGATAGGATCTGTTTGCAGCGTGCTTGAGTGAAATGTCCTCCTTTACTTGTACAAAGCATACAAGCAGCACTTCTGACCCAGGTCCTAAATTTTGTGCCTAGATTTCTCCACTCGAGCAGTGAGTCTGCTTGAAACATGATGAAGGATCCTACCAAATGTGAATATCACCACACATGAATACAGTAGGCTCCTTTTTAAAAACTGACCTAAACTAGAAATGAGAGCATTTGTTAATAACTGCCATCCCCACATTTATACCAGTGCTTAATTTATTATTTCAGGCCCCTTTCTTCCATATGCTTTAACTTAATCTTTATTTTTCTTCTTAAGATACCACCCTATCCTATCTCCTTTTTTATGTTTCCATGACTTCCAAATGGCTGAAGTCTCTATTCTAAATCATATAAATTCAAAATCCTAAAATCACTAATTCTTTCCTTCCCTATACATAAACTTGCCCGAGTCTTTTAATTTCTCCTTCATTGCTACTAACTCTAGTTGTGCCTCTGCTCATTGAGGTACATCTTCCCCTTCCTGTTCTCAGAGCTAGTTCCCACCAAACACACCTTACCTGGTTTCTGAAACCTTGAGCTCTCTCCTCTTTGTTCTTGCCTACCTGACTAATACTCTTAAAAACTCCAGTTTCGTCTGTCACTCCGAGCGTCAGGGACCCAGAACACAGGAGGGTGGTGGTTAGGGACACGGACTCGGCTGACTGCCTGGAGCAGTCACACTTGAATCACTCAGCGAGCTGTGTGACCCCCGGCAAGTTATTTAAACTCTCACTTCCTTGCCTTGTAAAATGGGTAATGAAGAAATAAGTAACATTTGTCCAAACCTTTAAAAGGTACACGGTGAGCAGTCAGTGCTAAGTCCTGTCACTGTTGTCAGTACCCATTATCAGTACACTGTTGTCACCCCTCTCAGGGGCAGCCATCCAGACCAAAGCCAGTCACGCTGCCACAGCAGTCTGGGTGAGCGAGGTGTTCGTGTCGCCCACCTCCTGGGGTTCTTTGAAGTCACTTGAGGTCTAACCTACAATGAGGAGCCATAAAACCTGGAAAGCATAGAACAGCACTTGACAGTTGTAAGATGGAATCCTGTAATATAAAAGATAAAAGTATCTTTGACCTGTGTTGGAATTAAGTGTTTACTGGTGTGGGTGTACACACGATCCTATTGGCCTACTCATTAAAATCCTTTGTAACCCCAAAATCAGCATGCACAGCTTTTTAGACGCACCAGAGCAGTAGAGACTGAGCCAGTACCATGCACACTCCCACCTGGGGTAGAGCAAGGCCACACTGCCTCACCGTAAAGAAGTTCAGTGCCATGTGTCGCATGGCTGTGCCCAGTGTCCCCAAGCCACAAGCATCACTCCAATGCTGCCGAGGGCGTCACCAGGAAAATACTCGAGTTAGATCAGCTGCTGTTGGTCATGCAGTCTGTTAATGAATCCATTTATGGTACATACGCTGTCTTTCACAGAAACACAAAGTTACATATTAAGCAGGTGGCAAAAATGATGTGACAAGCCAGACAGGGTGGCATGTGCCTATAATCCCTGCATCAGGAAGCTGAGGCAGGAGGAGCATGGTTTGCGACCAGCCTGGGCTGTGTAGTAAGATCCTGTCTTTGGAGAACCCAACCCTCCGTTTCCCTCAGTCATGATTTGGTATTGCTAATTCAGTGCTTGGAACAACTTTGAAATACCTGACTACCACGGATAACGAGAAGCAGCTGCCGGGGATGTAGGACGGTAGTAGATGCTCAGTACTGGATGAGTGACAGGAAAATGCCACAGCCTGAGCTGGGGCGGCCTGTCCTGTTGGAAATCATAGCAGTGTCTACGCCGTTTTGTGGTACAGGAGTAGTTGCCTAAGGTACAGGCACATTTCAGCCACTCAGTAGCTTTCTGAGTCTGATGCAGCTACCCCACATTTTACAGATAAGGAAAAGCTCCCTCGGGTCATTCAACAGACGAAGTGGTAAAGGCCAAGATTTTGATGCTAGACCCCATATTGTTCCAGCCTACTGCTGCTACTTCATACCTTCAGGGATGTTTTCACCTTAATATAATAAACATGGAAAGAGCTTCTGAAAAAGAAAGAACTTCTCAGAAGTCAGAGTTGTTCACAGCATTCTCTTTGCACACCAGCTACTCAGGCAGTGAGTCATAAGTCTCTGTATCCGGTCCCCAACCAGTGGGCATGAGGCCACACTGCCTCGAGGCTAACACTGGTTTTCATATTGTAGTCTTTCATAAAATTAGGATTTATTACTTTGTGCAGTTGATAATAGCATTTCACAGGTAGATTCATGTTTTAATCACAGGATAAAGGAAATAGTGGAGTAGTAATGGCTGCTGCTTGCGTGAGAAGCTACTCTGGGTCTGGCAGTGACAGGCACTCTCCATACATTGCTCGTTCAGGCCTCACAGCCCTGGGGCACTGCCAGTTGCCGAGTCTCCACTTCAGGAACCGGGAGCCAGTCACCAGGTGGAGTCATTCGTTTTTTAAATGGAAGCAGCAGCGGCTTCCTCTCAGGCTGCCCGTGATCTTCCACTGGGCCATGCTGCTTTCCACACAGCAAAAACCTCAGGGAGGTGTCAGATCCACGCGAGTGGAGACGCCCGCCTGTCCTTCCCATGTCAGAGGTGCGCCCTTCCTCCTGTGACTGTCCATCATGCACTCATCACTTAGCTCTCTTGAGTCTCCCTTTGCCACTTTCCCTAGGGTATTCTATTTGGCAGAGATGTTTTTACATGCCGTTGTCTATGTCCTTTGCGTCTGATCGTCCCTTGTTATATACAGCACACTTGAGTATGTTCACACTGCGTTAGGTAGCTCGCTTCTCTGCATGCTTCTCGGTTTGGCTGTGAGATGAGTGGCTAAATTCCCTTGCATTTTTCTGTCTTACAGCTGATGGTTGCAGAGAAGAGTGGAACGATCCGGTTTTATGATCTTGTGACCCATCAGGCTATTTTGTCTCTTGAATCAGAACAGATACCTTTAATGTCAGCACACTGGTGCTTAAAAAACACCTTCAAAGTTGGAGCAGTTGCAGGAAATGATTGGTTGATTTGGGATATCAGTCGGTCCAGGTACTTCCTCAGCATGTTTGTCTCTCACTCACACGAAGATCATAAGGATTGTTAAGTGAGCCACTGGGCCCCTGTAGAGCGAAAACAAGAAGGACAGAGCTGTGGGTTTTACATAACTGCGCTTTGCAGCTGCTTTGGGAGAGACCCAGGGAGGAAGAGGCAGAGGTGGCCCTCTGGTCTGAGTGACATTTACTTAGGCGAGGAAGAACCCGGCCCTGCAGAGTGGTGGCCCCTTGGGTGGCCCTGAGCTCTGGGTCTCTCACACGTCATCTACTTTAACGGCGAGCTACTTGGAATTTTGTTTTGTTTGTTTTTGTTTTTTCTTTTTGAAACAGGGTCTCCCTGTGTAGTTCAGGCTCGAATTTGCAGTAATCCTCCTGCCCCAGCTTCCCAAGTGCTGGGATCCCAGGCACCTCCATGCCAGGCTTGGAATTTTGTTACAGCTACTCACTCACATCCTGGTCTCAGAGATGTCAGCGAATGATACATTTTAAGCCTGTGAACTGCAGTACTTGGGTGGAGAGGAGAAGGCAGTGTCTAGGCTCAGCAGACACTCAGACCCTTTTCATTGGGCCCCTAAAGAGAAAATAACTTTAAAAACTAGATTTGATTTCATCAGCTTGAGCCTTAACGCAGAATTCACAAAATGCGGAATCCTGTTTTCTAGTTACCCTCAAGAGACAAGACCCGTTCACATGGACCGAGCCTGCCTCTTCAGGTAAGGTGCCATTTCTGCCAGTGTTGTCATCCGTGTTTTGGCTTTGTGCTGCTGGGCCACCACTGGAATATTTTCCCAGGCCTCATTTTTGTATCTGATTTTGTTTTCTAAGGGGTTAAGTCACTTTCCCAACTAAGTCTTTGCTTTTGACTTTCGGACTTAGCAAGGAACAGATTTGTTTCCCAGATATTTTCTTTGTAAAACTTCATGGCTTACAAAAGAAATCTTAGCACTCACAAGCCCCACCTCAGCAGTTTGTAGCACACTGCGTCCTGCTCTCCTGTGTTGGAAACTCAGATGTCCACGGCCCACGCTTACGTATTAACCTCATGTTTTAAATGAGAATATGCCGGCTAGTGTGGTCTTCTACATGCTAGTTTTTTCACATCAGTTCACTTTCTGTTCTTTTTTATTCACTTTTCATAATATTGCATTGTATAAGTTATCATTAAGCTACTTTAAGCTTTAAATAACAGGAAAACCAAGTAACAGACTAAAACCAGTAGAACATTATATCATATTTTTCATCAAATCTAAAATATCCTCAGTAAAATTATAGGACCTGGGGTCCCCATTGTTAACAGCCAGAGATTTCTAACTAAGAGTGGCAGCTGCTCGCATGCTGACCCCAGAGATGTGAGCAAGGCCCCAATTCTGAGTCAGTGAGCTCCAGCACTTGGGTGCCGGGAGAGAGGCAGGCTCGGGGCTGGCTGCTCAGCTGTCCAGCATCCTCGGCGCTCACACCCCCTTCATCCTTGCCCTCTGCCATCCCGGGCCACGGCCCTGGGCTCGTTGCTTCATGTTATGAGGCAGCTGCCAGACAACCTGGCACCGCAGCTTCACGCCACAGGGTGTGAGGCCAGAGGAGCAGCACTCCCCGTGTGCCCCAGCCCCAGCACTGGACATGCAAGCCAAAGTGGGCTCAGCTGGGAAAGGGCAGGATGGCCGCTGGAGAGGACATGATGACGCATGTGTGCCCGAATGTGAAGGAAGCCTTCTGTGGCTCACTCCTCCCCACTCCACTCAGGATGGTTGCAGACATGCTATCAGAGCTCTAGTATTCGGTGAACTGCCTTACAGGGCGTTTGTTTCATCCCAGGGAATGTAAACGAGCGTATCACTTCATAAGAAATGTCAGTAGACATCAATGTATTTACTGAACCCTTTGTCTGTGAGATATTTTATATCTGTCTGGTGGCTTGTTTTGTCTCCCACCACGCTCTGCCCTTTGATGATAAGAAGGAGACCATGTCAACCTTGTGTGACTTGGCACCAAATAAATATTCACAAAATGGGGAAATATTTATAACTGATTAACCTGGATTTCAGTCTAAATTTTAAACTATGTTAACAGATTTGGGATTGTAAAAATTACAGCTTTTGTACAAGAGGAAATAACTTGCTTCAGAAAGCTTGCCATTCTCTGTAGGCCAGTGTGCGTGTTTTCACTTTCCTGTCTCCCAGGTGGTCCACAATTAGTGAGAGCTTGTTCGCAACCACCGGTTACCCCGGCAAAATCACCAGCCAGTTTCAGATCCACCACCTCGGGCACCCTCAGGTAACATGGGAGTGCTCTGTGACACGTGTGGTTTTCAATGTGTGTCTTTGACTTTACACCCAGCGCCCCAGTCTGTAGTAACTGAGCACCCATAAAGGGTTTTAAGGGGTCACTGCAGTCTGTCACGTCTGGTATCTGCGTAAATTGAAAGGACATTTTTGATGTTTAAGTCACCTGTGGCAGCATTTTTTCTTTGGCAGAATTCATGTGAGAAGCATATTCCTTCTGTTGCTTCTGTATTTTATTTCATTTAAATATATTCGTTTAACTTTGCTTGCCTAGCTGCTGGTCTCGGCTGTCCTGATCACTCATGTTGGGGGGCTTTATCCTTCCTTTGGGCCAGCCACAAGTGCACGTGTTTCACCCCAGGGAAGCACACGCACGCGTAGATTATGCTTCTGCTATGGACAAAGCTAATCATCGGTCACTCCTTGCTTTTGAAAGTGTCTGCCCCTGAGCGGTGCAGGCCGCTGGCTGCTCTGACCCGCCTCCATGTCTTTACAGCCCATTCTCGAGGGCTCGGTCGCCATCGGATCAGGCCTCTCCTGGCACCGCACTCTGCCGCTGTGCGCCATAGGCGGAGACCGCAAGCTGTCCTTGTGGGTGACCGAGGTGTGACACAGATGGCCTGTGCACTTACATCCCCATCTCACAGTTTCGGTACATATTTTGGTGAACTCCTTATTTTTATATCAAATATACTGTAAATTTTAGAAATGTTTTCAGTTGCTTTCGTTAAATAAAATGTTGATGGTTTCAAAAATTATTTTCCTGCTCTGTTGTGTGTGTTTATGTGTGTTCGTAAGTCATCTCTTATGATTGTACAGTTACCTTAGCAGCTCAGCTGCAGAGAAGAGATGGACAGGGAAACAGCACTTCGGCTTTTGTTAAAGGATTATTCAAAGTGTATTCTGTCTTCTCTTTGAGTAATGCTCACTTCCTGATTCTCAGGGACACAAACACAGAAGGAGTTGAAATGTTTTCGGTGTACCTTGCAGTGGATGAATGTGCCTATGTGTCCATGTAGACATTTTGTTAGCAGTCTGTATGTGTCAGGCATTGTAATGTCATTAGTACTTTATTATCCAGTTTAATGCCCAAAAAAGATTGGCACCTTCTTTAAAATGCCCCATTCACTGTCTGCAGACTCCCTGCACTGGGCATCTCAGCATGGAGAGCACCTTGAGGTAGGGGTGAAGGAACCTTGAGGAAGAGACTGTGGTTTAGCCCTCCGCGGCCTCCGCTCTCCTGGATGCTCACCGTCCTTAGCACGGACCTGGAAGGTGCTGGGCATCACCCACTGAAGGACAGTTAGAACCTGCATTACACAAGGCAGCGGGCCTTGTTTCTGTGACACATCATGATGGACAAAGGTCCCGTCAGGTGGAGCAGGGAGTACCTACCGCAGACCGCCTTCCTTCGAGTCCGTGCCTGATCTGATGCACCAGTTTCTCTTGTGAAATGGGGTCAAAGTCCCTGTGTGCTGGAGCTGAGGTGTGATTACAGGTGAGTGAAAATACTCAGCTTCTCTTCCCCATAGTCCAGAGATTTGTTACTGATTTATTTCAGGCTTGTACAGTTTTGTTTTTTGGGGATATGGAATTATTTTTTATTAATAAAGCCAGGAAATATTTTTACTCAATTTTTCTATTCATGAAGTATTTTATAAGTATCTTACAGAATCAAAAAAATGACCTTTTATAGGATAGTAAAATATTGCAGTAATTAAAAATTAAGTCAGTGAAATTTTGTAATCATGTAGATGTCTGGTGTAAACTACATGCTTTGGAGTACAGGTGAAATACTGCATTTCAATTTCCACATCAGTTATTTATTTTTGTTTGCATCTTTGTTTGTTTGTGTCGGGTTTTAGATAGGGTCTCACTATGTAGTCCAGGCTGGCCTTGGACTTACTGTGCAGTCCAGGCTGGCCTGGAACTCATGGTCTTCCTGCCTCAGCCTCTCGAGTGCCAGAACTACAGGAGTACACCGCCTCACCCAGACACGTCGTTATTGAATACAGTAAAATCTAGCGGTCCAGCAAGATACTTACCCTCCATAAACAGGCTTAGCTTATGCTGTAGGGGGAGGGGCCGAGGGCATGCAATCTTGATGTCCCTTCCAGCCGTCTCAGGGACAGAGCCCTCCAAAAGCATCACATCAGATAGGCCAGAAGAGACACACTGTCTGTCAACGGTGACTCTTGTGAAAAATGTATTACTTCAAGATGTATCCAAAAAAACATCATCCCAGTATATTTGAAACGTCATCTCATGCTTAGGAAATCTGGCAAAAGACCGGAGTGAGTGGTGTCAGGGACGATGGGGAGCCTGCCGGGATTGGGTGTCAGAGCGGGTCCTGCAGAGCGGCAGTTTCCCCAGTGCACACGCGCTGTCCATTGAAGGCAGGCAGGACCGCCTGCCGTCTGTTCCTGCAGGAAACTGGCTCTCGGGCCCTGTGACTGCAGCTTGCCCGAGAGCTAGGGGTGCTAGCCTGGACTGGGGCGGGGCAGGGGGGGGCATGGGGTCTGCTAGTGAGTTACACAGCTCCCCGAGTGGGACACGCCTGTTCTCAGATGGCACAGGCAGGCTCCAGGCCACGCCCCACTTGCGCTTTGTCAGACCTCATGGTTTTCAGTTTCTTGGAGACGGTGTGATGACAGTCCTTGTTCTTGTGAACTGTTCTTCAAAATATGTTTATGTTACACTGAGTCGGGAGGAATTAGTTATTGGTCACCACTTCTAATTCCTGATAAATAACACAAGTGCCGATACTGTGTTTCCCGGTTTTCATTTTTTCCATTTTTGTTTATAAATATGTCTAAGAGGATTTTTCTTCTGTTGAAATTACATTTTCCTCAGGGTTGCTTCACTCAGAAACACTATGGAAGGGAAAAAAGCCTTACTTACATGCTAAAATGTGTATTGTTTAAGATTGTTGAAGAAAAAGTCAGGATATCACAATATGCATTGTCAAAGCGAAATTGTCTCCTTTCAAAATGACAGGATCATAAGTCCCATTTTATTTTTATGATTTGGCCTGCATGTTGTGAATATTTCAGGGTCCTCCCGTGCCAAAACACAAAAATCCCACACCCACAGATTCCGGTTTGTTTCTTACTTGGGTAATTTGTGACTGCATATTGACACTGACCTAGAAATGTCCCTGTGGCTGTTTTAAATCTCCTGTCAGTGGAGAAGAAATGGAAATCTGGTTTGCACAATTGTGTCTGATTTTTTATGATTGTCTAAAATCTGACCGCCCAAGTTGCTGATGAGGAACTTGGAAAACAGAATTGTGCTGGTTCTGGGGACGGGAAAAGAAGTTGCTCCACTCCACACTATTTCCACGGTTCTCTGCAACTCAGAAGTTGCTTTAACCCAGCCTTCTCCCTCACCAGGAGCCTTCATTCTGAGTCCAGATAAGATCTGCAGAGTGAAATGGCCATTTTGCCAGTCCTTTCTGGGGAGAGCCGGGTGGAGCCCTTGAAGCAGCACGGTGTCCAGTACATTTTCACAAGACACCTTGTGCTCGGGCACAAGGACAGCACAGAACACTCTGTGTCCTTCATTGTAGCACCTTGCTGATTCAAAAACATGTATTTTAGTGGGCATTTGAAAAGCATTTCAAAACAGCTAAATTCCTTTCTAACCATACATTTTTTTTATTAGCAAGATCTTAATATATAACAGCCATTTGTTACCAAAACATAATACAATAATCAGGACATGAGTTTTATAAGATCTCATTTCACAAAAGAAATAAAGAACACACCCATATTTATATATCTCCACCCCATGGGCTCAACATACGCAGTTTCTTTTGTGCACATGAACACAGACTCCATGGAAAACCCAAAACATGTAATGGACCTTGTGACCTTGTCAGCTGTTCCTTGGGTGACCTTAGTAAAACAATTGTTGCCCCAATGTAGGATTGTGACATTTGTCTGGGAATTTCTGCGGATCCACTGACTAGTTTAACTTAGGTCTTCATTGTAGGTACTTGCCTTCTCCACTCTTTAACAGAGTGCTGGGGACTTGCAACACATAAACTTATGCAGTCCTTGTGAACAAGGCTCAGCAAAAAGGTCACCAGGTTTCTCAGCCTTTCCAAACAGTTTTGAATAACTTAGTCAACTTAAAGATCTATGAAATAATCACTTCCACCCACTGCATTTACAGTGCAGTATTGCGTGTCTTTTTCTTTATAGTAAAGACAAAAAACACCACTGGTCTCTTTGCTTCTAATGGTGGTTAAGTAAAAACTTTGATCTTTCTTATAAACACAGCTGTTATCCTGTCATGGCGCCAAATCCAGACAAGATTTCGACTCCGGCCAGAATTAGGCATAATCTTTGCAGCTATCTCAAGTAAGAGCTTTCTAATACTCTTTTAGGAAATCTCTATTTTTGAGGCAGCGTTCAAAGAAAATAAGTCTCAGACAGCTAACCTCTAAAGTAAGCAGGGGCAACTAATGATAAATTATACCAAGAAGAATATACTTATTTGAAGAAGATGCAGACTGTCTGACCAAAAAAGTTCATATTGGTTTATTTGTACTTGGACTCTCATCGTAAGAAATGACTTTCATTTTAAGTTCATGTTCAGTTTCAGTTGGACCATTACCTTACTTTTTAATGAACATCTTTCGACCATCTTAATGTAATGTTTTGTTCTGTCTTCCACTAATAGTAATAAAAACTAGGTGCTTATTTTGAGACAGAATAACTGGTATATATTTTCTTATCATTATTGTGTGATCATTTTGATGGCCAAACTACCCCCCCAAATTAATCCTTTCTCTCTGAGATTTAAATTCTCAAGTTTTGAATGCATTGCCCAGTGTTCTGTGGGGCTAATCCTCCTGAGAGTTGTCACCAGCGCTTCCAGCTGTGTTGAGAACCATGTCTGCAGGCCGCCTTGCTCCCCGAGGACATGTGGGCACAGACCTCCCTTGTCTGGAACTCTAGGGCTAGGTTTCCCTGGCCCTGGACTTGGAGCAAGTGTGGGACCTGTGATTGTATGCAGCTGCGGCAGAGGTCCCGCCCCATCCTGAGTTCACCCATAAATGCACCACAGCCCAGGCCCGTGGAGCAAAACGGGATCACGTCAGTTTCTGAGCTGTCCCTTTCCCTGTCATTCCCCTGCTGTGAGTGTAATGTCCACTCCCCACCAATGCTGGGCACCTGGGAGAATATGCAGTGATGGCAGTTTTCTCAAACTGCACTGTCAGAATTGATCTCTTGAGGTCCTGAGACAGTATAGCCCCTCCCGATCAAACCTGCTGACACGTTTCTGACACACGGTGACCTCAAGTGTCCTGACATTGGCCTGCGCCCACCCCAGACACTGAGCAGATGGAGGGAGTGAGCGCTGGGGAAGCCTTCAGGCTTGTGCGGATAGAGTGGCCTTGGCAGACCCCTCAGAAGTCTGGAGAGCTTAGCAAGTCCCCGGCACTGTACACATGGGCTTCTTGGGCCGAGACGAGAGCCCACTGAGAGATGCTTACTAGCATGCACAAGGCCCTGGGTTTTGATCCCCTGAACACAAAAGGGGCAAGGGGATTCTATGTTAAGAAAACACTGGACCACTTTCTTTGGGGTTCATAACTTCTGGCTTAGTCTTTTTTTCTTTGTGGTACTACGGGTTAAACCCAGGACCTTCGCCCTGAGCCACATCCCCAGTCCTTTTGTACTGTGTACTTTGAGACAGGGTCTTGCTAAGCCACCAAGTTGCCCAGCTCAAATTTACAATCCTCCTGCCTCAGCCTTCTGTAGTGCTGAATTACAGGTCCCAACATGCCTGGCTGGCCTGGTCATTTTTTAAGAAGTAATAGCAAGGACTAACGTAATTTTGGACTCCAGAAACAAGGCTTCAGGCAGAAATGTTGGTATAGAACTCCTGGCGTACTTCAGTGATTTCACGTGGCTGTGATTCCATTAACCTGACCACTTTAAAAACTCCAGGTGCTAAAAGTTACTGAAACAGCCAGGCGGGGGCAGCACCGTTCACTGCCGCTTGTAAATAAGCAAAGCAGGTTATTCTTTGAAGAGGGCAGAGTGCTATTAAAGCTACACAAAGCTAAGCAGAGACTCATCGCAGGCCTGCCTCATTTCTACCTCCAACCCTAGGGAGAAGGTCTTGGTGAATCTGATCAGAACCACAACTCTACCAAAGCACGGCAATGCTACTGCCAAAAGGAGTGACTGTAGGGGAGTTTCCTTCCTATGCATTTCCCTTCTAAGTTTTCCACAACAGATGTTTCACTTTTATAATAAGTCCTCAATTTAAAAATAAGCAGATTACTAACTAGCTCCAAGCATACTGACGTCTGGTTTCAAGTTACACAGAGCTTGGCGATTCCCCGCGATCACAGAAAGATGAAGGCAGCTTATGCGAGGTGTCCTGGGTGTCCGGTGTCGTGGGCGCTGTGAGCAGGAAGGGCGTAAAAGATCAAAAGCAGAGGCCTACTGCTCCCTCTCCCCGGGCTGCGAGGTCAGGACACGCGGGTTCCGTGGGTTCCGAGTCAGCAGTGTTTCAGGGTCGCCGAGGCACAGGCGGAAGTCGGGGAGGGAGCAGATCCCACCCGAGCGCCCTCCCCTGCTCCACGCCAGGCAGCCGCTCCTTCCCTCGGTCACTTCCTGAGACGCCAGAGCCAGGGGCAGGCCGTGCTGAAACCCACGCTATTAACCGTAAAATCCACACTCTGAGGGGTGATGAGCCTTCCTACTTTTCCTAGATTCTGTATTTACCTACTGCACATCCAGTCCTCACAGGGCTGATCACATTAACGGTCTCCTCTTCTATATTCTTGATGTCCCAGCATCTGTGCCTTTTTTTCTTTTTGTTTTTATTTCAACTGGAGGCTGAACCCAAGTTCTTCACACTGAGCTATATCCCTAGCCTATTTATTTGGAGACAAGATCTCACTAAGTTGCCTGGGCTGAGCTGGAACTTTATCCTCCTGCCTCAGCCTCCTGGAGTACAGGTATGAGCCACCATACCTGGCCATCTGTGGCCTGACAGACCCAGGGGAGGTTGCCTCTGTCAGAGGGAGCAGTCCTGGAGGTAGTAACTACTTACTTGGCAGCAAGTCTCAGTACACAAACCCACCAAGCCGGAGCCCTCACCTACCTTACACACAGAGAGCCAGTATTTCCCCTGCGTTACATCAACTCACAGCCAAATACTGGACCAGGGGCAGCCCCTCTGTCCAGAGTCCACAAGAACTATTCAAAGTAGCCAGCCCCTAGCTGTTCCCTTCCAGCAGAGGATCCGGCCTGGGCATCTCCCTAACCTCTGCTTGTGTCTCCTGAACAGACTGGTGTCACCTGGGGTGCTGGGTTGCACGGCACGGCCCCCTCACTAGGAAACGCACAGTCACAGAGCCAGCCCTTCTCTGTGCCGTCATCTCCGCACACACGCAGAAATCCCGAGTAAAGGGAGACAGACCCTTCCCAGGCCCTCCAGGAGAGGGTCACCGTGCACCTCTGTTTCTTTGGGGGGAGTGGCTCCCTGGGTGTAAATATCTCTAGGTCTTGTGGGACAGTTTTTCCCTTACTAGGAGCCAGTACCATGCCTGTAGGGGTCCATCCTGAAACTAGGGAGAAACGCAAAAGAAAACTAGGCACCCAATTCTCCTTCCTTCCCTCACCTCTGAACTCACCCATGACAACATTAAATAACAGCAGTTTTCCAGCAATTGCCATAAAGACAAAGATCACTGAAAAACCTTTAAGATCGTTTGCTGGCTATACAGATGGAGGTGGCATAGGAGATCTCTACTGGTATTCATTGTCTACTAGTTTTGCCTCCAGAACTCACGACAGTGAAATGCGGTAACACGTTTTGCCAATGACAGACAGCCTAAAGGAAAGGGATATATTTAAGAGGATTCTGGCAGTCCACCCAGACTTAGCTATACATTGTTCTCATTATTCCTGGAAGCTCAGTTACTAAAGTGTGAGTGGCACTGCTGTTGGGAGCCGTGCGTGACTGATGAGCAGTAATCAGGGTCCCGGAGACAGAAGAAATTCCCACCCCTGCATCTGGGAGCCCGAAACCACCTCTAATAGAGTTCTGTTGTGAAGTAACCAAACCACTTAAAAACATTTTTTTTGTCCTTTGCCCAATTGAGAAGTTCGTATTTCTAGGAGTCCTATGCAGTATAAATAAATATATCCGCTGCTTACATGTAACCAGTGACTTCTCTCTCTCTTCTCTGGCCGGGAGCCTTTGGCTCTGGAGAGAAAGGAAGAGTAGTTGGGAATTAGTCTGACCGCGTACCCAGCCCAAGAGGAGAGTTCGTGGAAGAAAAAAGCAAGCCGCAGGAGCAGGTACCTTCACAGGGAGCAGAGCACTGGTAATCGGGAGACAGTCATGGGGCAGGCAGGCCCAGTGCGCGCTGGGGTGAGGCGAGCAGAGCAGCTGTGGGAGCGTACGTGCAGAAGGATGGTTTTCCACTCTTGGTTAGAACCTGGAAAGGTAGAGGAAGCCCTTTGCATCCATGGCAGTAACAAGACATAATAAGATAAAACCCAAGTCCTATTTCCCCTGGGCCACCAGAAAGGATTGGCTGTAAGACAACTTCAGGGATGACATCCGACAGAAAAGTCTACGTGTGGAGGGCACGGCTGACGAGAGCAGTGATGCCGCACTGGCACCAGGGAGGAGGCCTGGCCTGGGCACAGCAGGTGGGCGAGCAAGCCTGGCACCACCCAGGGGCTGGGCAGAGTTAAGGCAGCTGAGTCACGCCCAGTGGTGTCAGCTGTCAGACAGACCTGGGTATCCAAAGACCCCAGTCACAAAAATAAGTTACTTAGCCTACACCTACCCCAAGCTCGCCAAGAGCGCAGTGGAGGAAATGCTTTGGTGAGGACAGAGCACACCAAGTGTTGCATCCCGTGGTGCCTCTCAGGCCTGAGGCCTCCGGAGGCCTCCATGACACCTCCACCCAGCTCTCCGTGGCTCCCACCTCACCCCCAGTAAAGCCAGAGTCCTTCCCACCGCTCTGGCTTCCAATCTGGACTATGAGCAATTGAACAATACCTGTTTGCTTGTTAGCAATTTACCTTCACAAGGGAATGTGTTCTGCTCACTGCTACATCCGTGATTTATGTGGAGTAGGATTATCTGTGGAATGGATGGATGGGGAGATAGGAGGAAGGCTTTCTGATGACAGGCCCTAGGCCTGGGTTATAATAAGCACTCAAAACTTCGTATTAAAATCATTAATGAGTTTTCACTGAAAAGCAGAGTAACTGAGGAAGAAAAGAATAATCCTTGCTCCAAGGAATTTACAGTCTAATGGAAAAATTGCAGCTCGTATGGACTTTATCAAGAGCAAAACAGAGCGCAAGTACAGTTGCCTAGAGCTGCCTCCATGTTTACCTTACTTACAGCTGGGGTGTGAGTGCATTCCAGGCCTGCCTCCTTTTATTTTGCTTTCTTGAGCTTTGAAGATACTGTGTTGGTTTGCATTTGCAACTGAGGTTTGTGACAGCCTTGTGCTGAGCGATCTGGGGCCTGGTTTTCCGGTGTCACATGTCCACTGTGTCCGTGGGTCCCATGGGTTGATTATCCAGTATCTCCCTTCTCTCGGTGACTGCTCTGTGTTGCGGTGCTCTGTGACTAGTCATCTTTGACGTCACTGTTCTAATTGTTTTGGGGTCTCACACCCCAATATAAGGTGGAAAACCATTCTCATAAACACTGTCCATGTTCTGACTGCTTCACGCTCCAAACAGCCTGTCTTTATCCCTCTCCTGGGCCTCCTAAAAAAATGATACTGAAATTAAACCAACCAGTGCCCGCACGATGGCCCCAAAATGCTTAACTGAGAGCAACAGTCCTGTGTCTCTAAATCGGAAGCAAAAATGATTAAGCTTCGCGCGAGGAAGTCCCGTGGAAAGCCGAGGACAAAGCCAGGCCTGGCACGGTGACCGTGATCACAAAGGAAACGTTGTGGGAAATCTGAAGCGACCACGGGAAGAGTGAGGTGATGTTATCGCCATGGACGGAGCTAAATGTCCCGGTGGAAGAGCAACCCCGCGCGGCATCGGACACAACACCGAAGCTTCCGTCAGGGGAGGCCCAGGGCGGGCAGAAGCTGAAGAGGCGGCTCCCCGAGGTCTGGGGAAGGGGACACCCCGGGCTTGCAGAGCTGAGAAGTCAAAATCTGGCTTCGACGCTCCGAAGCACGGGCGGGCGCACCTGTTAGGAGCGGCCATAGCTGCTGATTTTATATATTTTCCAGTATTCATTTTTTAGGGTACGCGTTTGCAGTGCATAAAGATTATATGACTAGAGCGGAGCTGGTCCACATCACTGACACTTCTTCATTCTGGTTTCATCCCCTTTCCCTCTCCTCCCCCTCTCTCCTCCATATCTTGATCTCCTTCCCATTGGAAAAAGATCCATCCCCTACTTCCTATTATCTACCTTTTATTTTGGGCAACGTGAATCGTAAACCTTCTAGATGCTTGTGGAGAAGAGGCTGCGGATGTGGCAGAAATAACCAGAGAACTGGGATTAAGGCCGTAGCGGAAGCTGTGGCCGAACTGCTCCATCTCAGGATGCAGCGCGCTTCCGGTGGATGAAGAGACGGGTTCCTTGAGAGGGGAACCACGTGGTGAAGATCCCAGGCACATCACTGAAAGGACAGACAGCTCACAGTGTCACATGACCGAGCTGAGCCAGCAACAGCAGGCCTGGGAGGACCCGCTCCAGTTCTGCATGAAGCTCTGCAGTGGGCAAGAGGCTGTCAAACCACATTGCAAGCCAGGCGTGGTGGCGCTCGCCTGTTATCCCAGCACTCGGGAGGCTGAGGCAGGAGGATCACTGTGAGTTCTAGGCTAACCTGGGCTACATAGTGAGTTCAAGGCCAGCCTAAACTACACAGTGAGACCCTGTCTCAAAAAACAAAACACAGGATGGCATGCTAAGGAGAAGCTTTTCATGAGAAGGTACATAAACAAAAATTTTTTTTTTTTTTGGTACCGAGGATCGAACTTGGGACCTTATGCTTTCGAGGCAGGCAGTGGAAACACTGAGCTAAATCCCTGGCCCTAAAATTTTATTTTTTAAGAAACTGCCACAGCCAGCCCAGCCCTCACCAAGCACAACCCTGACCAGTCAGTAATCATCGACATGGAGTGCTCTCCTCCCCCAGCAAAATGCCTTTGACTCACTGAAGGCTCAGATGATCATTAGCATTTTTTAGCAATAACGCTTTATATCTGTATGTTTGGTTTGGATTTTTTGAGACAGGTTCTCACTCTATAGTCCAGCAGGCTGGCCTTGTACTCGCTGTGTAGCCCAGGCCAGCTTCAAACTCAAAATCCTGCCAGGGATTTAGCTCAGTTGTTTTGCCACCTGCTGCACAAGCCCAAGGACCCGAGTTCAATCCCCGGTACCAAAAAAAGAAAATCCTCCTGCCTTTGCCTCCTCCTGAGTGCTATGATTACAGATGTGTCACCACACCCACCGGCACTAAAGTATTTTTAAAATTCACTCTGCATACTTTCTTCAGATACAGTGCTACTGTATGCTTAATAATCTACAGTAAAGGGGAGACATAATTTTACATGTACTATTGATAGAGAAAATTTAAACTATAGGTTAGTTATTAAGGTAGCTGAAGTAGAATAAGTAATCCATTCCTTTAAGATTTACCTTTCCTGTAACTCTTATTGTTTAAGGTGATGGTTCACTGAACCTTTGACCTGTAACCTAGCTGTAGATAACATTTAACCTGGAGGAAAGCAAAATAGAAATGTTTGGGTAGTTTACAATGTATGTGTTTTAAGCACCATCTGTTTGTTATATGTCTGTGACTATAACTATTAACAGGAACTAGTTGTAAAAGAGAAACAGAAATTTTACTAAGACCACCAGAAATGAGGTAATGGCTAAAAGAAGATATAAAAGGAACTGTTAAAACAAAGGACGGGGCGGACATTGATCAGACAAGTTTCGGGCGGTCCCCCTCACTAGCAAGTAAAGGCTTTGGTTTTTTACCCAACTTCTGTGTCTCCGTACATTTCTTTCCACGATTCCAGAACACTATAAAGCCAGAAAATTCATATGATTTGCTTTATTGTGATGTTCGCTGTATCACTATGGCCTGGATCTGTGTCCACAATATCTCTGAAGTACGCCTGCACCTCAAAAATGTTAGATGCCCAACAGGTGTTTGTCCAAAGCTAACAATGAAATGTTCAAGAATATACACTTGTCATAGACACAAAGAGAGGTGGATTTAAAATTATCCCTTGTCTACCCTCCTCACTTCCACCTCCCACTTCTATGCGTACAAATTCTACCCTCAACTTTTCTAACATTTATTACATATCTGTGCGCCAGGCACTACATCACCTTTTATTAAATCTGTGTCCTGTCACTTACTCTGCCCAGAATTCTTCAAATGGCTTCTTTTTGGTTCAGTATAGCCCTGAGTGATGGGCTTGGTTAAAATGCAAATTTCTAGGCTTATTCCACAGAGGCACTGATTTGGTTTTTCTGAGATTAATCTCTGAGATGGGCATTTTAAGTGGCACTCTAGGAGGCTGAAGCAGGAAGATTCCAAGTTCAACCCTGGGCAACTTAGTGGCTTCCCTTTTTCAAAATACATAAAAAGTAGAAAATGGGCTGGGATATAGGTTAGTGCTAATGCCTTGAGTTCAATCCCTAGTACCGCAAAACAAAACAAAAACAAAACACAAATTTTAAAAACCCCAAAACCACTCTCAAAAATTTGCAGGGATCTTTTGTCGAGAAACATGCACTGTAGCTTTGAATGTGGGATGGCACACCTTGAACAAGCTTTCTGTTGCCTCCTCCTGCCTCCGGTCTCGTCCTCCTCCCTTTTGGGCCTGTTTTTTGCTTCCACACCAGCTCCCCTCTGACCTGGCTCAGGCCTCCGGCCCCTGCACAAAGCTGCACCTCACACTGTGGTGAAGTCTACCTGCTCCAGCTTCCTCAGGACCTGATGCACCTTTCATCTGCAGTGCCACAGCCCCTTGCCCCCGTGTGGATGCCTGTGCCAGTGTGTGCCTGAGTGTGTGTGCCTGGATGCACGCTCAGAGCTCAGTGTTATATTTGCGTGTCTGTGTAGACACTGAGCATCGACATTGGGCATTTTTTTCCCTGCATCATACATCTCTTGAAGGCAGAGACTGTCCTCTTCATCTTTCTACTGCTGACCATCTTGCTGGGTAACAGGATGAGTCCAGCCTCAGCTCAGGTGGCCCAGGTCACACAGCTGGCAAACCGCCCATTCAGAATCTGAAACAAGTCTTCAAACTCCAGATACAAATGTCTTTCCAGGTCACTGCTCTGCCTTTTCAGTGACCTAAGTGTCTTCACTTTCCATAAAGTTGTGCCTCAACTGTAGTGTGATGTGTTACTTCATGCTTTAAAGATATGAGAGCCAGGCATAGTGTTTCACATCTATAATCCCAGCACTCAGGACGCTGAGACAGGAGGATTGCTGAGAGTTCGAGGCCAGCCTGGGCTACATAGTGAGTCAAGGCCAGCCTGAACTATACAGCACGGCACTGTCTCAAAAAATAAAAATAAAAACTTTTTTAAATCATGAGAAATACTTGGGCATGGTGGCACACGCCTGAAATCTTAGTACTCTGGGAGGCTGAGACAGGAAGATTGCAAATTCGAGCCCAGCTTGGGCAACTAAGTGAGTGACATAGTGAGATCTTGTCAGAATTGAACAGAATAGAATAAAAAATAAATAAAAAGGGCTGGGGCTGTGGCTCAGTGTGAAGGCCCTGGGTTCAAGCCCCAGTACAGAATAAAATAAACAGCCCTTATCTCTCTTCAGAGCACACACCTCTCCAGTGCAGCCGGCTCGGTCTGACCAATTTCTGTATTTCCAAGACCCAGCAGGGTGTCTGGCGTTTAGTAGAATAGTAAAATTAAAACCAGGTGTTAAATGAATGGCCGAACTATCCATACAACAGACAGTACTAAGCAGGGAAAACCTCAAACGGATGCATCTCCTGACTTTGTTTTTCCTTTTTCTTTCTTTTCCTTTTTGTTCCCGCTCTTTATGCCTCCGTGCTCCAGCACCAGCCTTGCTCTTAGCTCTGAAGCCCTGGAGGCAGACGTCACAAACCGAATCCGAACTACAAATCCCGGCATGCGGAGTGAAGGGGCGGGCCCTCCGGAAGCCGCCCAATGATTGGCGAACTGGCACGCTACCTTCCGGTAGGAGGGGCCCGGGGCCAGGACTTGGGGCTCGCTTCCGGGTTGGGCGGGCTGTGTCGGGGAGGGTTCTGTGGGGCGCTCCGCTCGCGGAGGGCATGGACGAGGACGGGCTCCCCCTCATGGGGTCGGGCATAGACTTGACCAAGGTTCGTCGGAGAGGAGCCGAGCTTCGGCCAGCAGGGAGGACGGGAGGGCCCGCGCCGCGGGAGGGCGGCCCACTTCACGTGCGTGTGCGCGCGGGCGCCGTGGTCGCGGCCCCGAAGCCGTGCGTGGGCTTCCGCTCTGCCACGGCCCAGGCGCGGCGAACCTGGCTTCCGGCCGCCCCTGCGCGTTGCCCCTCGGCGGCCCGGTCCTCTCCAGCGCGCGCGAGCCTTATTTGTTTTCGCACAGCGCAGGTGCCGGCGATCCAGCAAAAGAGGACGGTGGCGTTTCTAAACCAGTTCGTGGTGCACACCGTGCAGTTCCTCAACCGCTTTGCCACGGTGTGCGAGGAGGTAGGACCCGGGACCCCGCGGCAAGCAGGGAGCCCGCAAAGCCCCAGGAGTCTGGTTCGCGGCGTGCACACCCGTCTCCGCCTGTCCCCCGCCGGGCTGACACCCCGGGCCCCTGCGGGTCTGGGACCATAGCTCAGGCTGGCTCAGGGCATCAAGGAGAACCGAGGAAATACAGGATGTCGCGGCGGAAGACATCTTTTATTCTGAAATGTGTTTTAATGCTCCCGAAAGATTTACATTTGACATTTAAATTATTTTACATTCTTTAATCCAAAAATGGTAAAGGGGCCGGGCGTGGTGCCCCACGCTCGTAGTCCCAGCACTCAGGAGGCTGAGGCAGGAGGATCGCTGCGAGATCGAGGACAGCCTGGGCTACACAATGAGTTCCAAGGACAGCCTGAACTATACAGCAAGACCTTGTCCCAAAATAAAAAATAAAAATAAAAAAAGACACAAAAACAGAAGAAACAAAGATGGCAAAGGGACGTAGCCTAAAACATGTTTGGCATCAGACACCATTAAGGAAATAAAAATGCCTTCTGCAAGTGTCTTGTGAGGACTAAGTGCTCAGTTAATATTCAGCGAGCCCTCTCTGTCTTTTAAAAAGCCAGAGAAGCCTGGGTTCAGTCCCTAGTATTGCAATTCAGTGAATTAATCCATCAATAAAAGTTTTTAAAGTTTGAAAGCTAAAGAAGAGGATGAGGAGGACAGTGAGGAACATAAATTGAAACTGAGTTTAAGAAAAGGGAAAGAAATGATGGAACTTTTAGATAATTCACAGTTGAACGTTCTGACTTCTATCAGCCGTAGCTTTGGCAAATCGAGATTCTGCTAGGTGTCACTAAGAATGACATGGAGATGGAAACCATTGGCATCAGCTGCTGTTTTCTCTGGTAGTCAGAATGTCTTCTGTCTTCTCAGACTGCGAAGAATGAGAGCTGACCGCTGGTAGACTGAGGGGCTCAGTTCAGTGTATTCTGTGTTACCAGTCTCGAACATCAGGGGCCTGCTTCTAACAGGAAGTAGAACTGAAAATAAAAACCAGTAAGCTTCACAGTGATGTAATCATTATGTACTGCAAACACTAATAAAAATTTTAAAATTAAGCAAAAAGTAAACCAGCATTTCCCCCTTTAATTTATATGCTGGGTGGGGTGGAGAAATATTTGGAGAATATTGTTAGCAGAAAGAAGTAAATGCTTCCTCATAGTCCTCATCAGTGGGTTAAAAGATAAAAAAAGCCCACACATAGGAAAGGACTTCAATTAACCGCTTCGCCTTTGTGAGCCCAGAGTGTCTGTGCCTGAGCAGAGGTGCCCCGTATTTATCAGCAGAGGGTCAGAGATGAAGCCCCATCCCCTTGCCTAGGAAAGATGGAAGCCTTCTGGGCCCTCGTTGCCCCTTTGCGTTCCTCCCTCGACCCCCCTACAACTGCTTTCTTGGCGTCACCGGTCCCTAGTCCTTCCTTGAGCCCTAAAGAAAAATTTGCTGACCAAAAACACATTAAGTTTAAAGACAGTCTTGCGTTTTCTCCTTTTTAAAAATACATTATTTGTCTTGTCAGTATAAACTGTATGGTTTTTATGGTCCACAATGTGATCTGTTCATATTTTTCCACATTATGAAGTGGCTAAGTCAAACGTGGATTATTTCACATATGATTGTGATAAGAGCTCTCACCTTAAAAGCTACTCCCAGAAACTTTCAGGGAAGGAGTATTGTTGTTGCCTGAGGTCACCATGATGTGCAGTGGCTCTGTTGGACGTATTTCTTGTGTTTCACTGAAATTATGTACCCCTTGGCTGATGTGCCTTTCTTACTATCCTCCCCTCCCTCCTCATGCCAACTTCAGGTAAGCACCATTTTGCTCTGTGAGTTGTGCTTTTTTCTGTTCCACGTATAAGGGAAATCGTGTGATATGTGTGTCTCTGTGACTTATTTCATTAAACATATCCTCCATATCCATCCATGTTGTCACACTGACATGATTTTATCCCTTTTCACGGCTGCATAGTATTCCAAGGTGTACATGCGCCTCAGTTTCTTTGTCAGGTGATGAGACTTAGGTTGATTCCATTCTTGGCTCTTGTGAATAATGCTCCCTTCTTATGTCATGTCCTTGGGTACAGACCCAGTTGTGAAAAGGCTGAGCCATACGGTAGCTCTGTTTTATTTATTTATTTTTATTTTTTTGGTACTGGGGAGTGAACTCGGGTCCTTGCGCTTGCACAGCAGGTGGGGAAACCACTGAGCTAAATCCCCGGCCCTCTGTTTTATTTTTGAGACATCTCCATATCGTTTTCCAAAAACGATACACTATACTAATTTACATTCACACCAGCAGTGTATAAGGACTCCTTGTCCTTTTTATCTTTTCAGTAATGGCCATTCTGACGCTTAAGAGGTGATTTGTTTCTTTCCATCATGATCAGAGCTCTGGAGCATTTTTTGGAAGTGACCCTTGGGTCTGTCACCCAGGAATGGGTGGGGTTGTGGCTCAGGGCGGGGCACTTGCCTAGCGCATGTGCACCTGGGTTCCATCTCCAGGGCCATGAACAAAGCAAGAAACAACAATGCCGTGCGGACTGATGGGGATGGGACGTGTTTGAATGCGGCCACCCATCTTGCTGCTGAGTCCTTGGAGTCCTCGTGTATTTCGAGCATTAACCAGCACTGCTGCGTGATTTGCAAACACTTCGCCCACCCCCCTCTGTTCCTGCTGTCCGAGGAAGTGCAGAGGCTTTTCAGTTTGATGTCACCTCGTCTGTCTGCTTGTACAGGTGTTACCTCTGCATTTGGGGGTCACATCCAAAAACGTTACGGCCCCGCCAGTATCAGAGAGCGTTCCCCGTGTTCCTTTTCCCTGGTGGTTGTACTGGTTCAGACCCTGACGTTTAAGTCCGTCTGTTCGAGGTGAGGCTGTAAGTTACCAGCACGTGGAGACCACTTTCCCAGCACTGCTTCTGGAAGAGACCGCTCTTGCCACACTGCCTGTGTGCTGCACCCAGAGTCGATTGGCCGACACTGCGGGGCCCGCTTTCCAGGCTCTGCTGTCTCCCTCGCCGTGGCTTTGTGCAACACTTTGCATCAGGTGCCGTGGTGTCTCCAGCAGCGTTTTTGCCGAGGATTGCTTTGGTGATTTTTAAAATGTTTGTAGTTCTTTATGGATTTTGGGAGTGTTTTTCTATTTCTGTGAGAACCGTCATTGGGATTTTTGATGGGATTGCACTGAATTTGTAGATCACTCTGGGTTCCATGGGCTTTTCCTTTTCTGTTCCTTTTTTGTCCTTCTCCATACAGGGGGTCCGGCCCAAGGCTTTGCACAGGCTGCGTGTGCAGCTCTACCTCTGAGCTGCATCCCTAGCCCTTTCGTATTTTATTTTCAGAAAAATTTTCACTAAGTTGCCCAGGCTGGGCTTGAATTTGAGACCCTTCTGCTTCAGCCTCATGAACAGCTAGATATTTTTAAAATATTAATTCTTCCAATTCATATTCATGGATTCTTTCCATTTACTTGTGTCTTGGATCTCTGTCGTCAGTGTTTTATAGTATTTATTTATTTATTGGTGCTGGGGATTGAACTCAAGGCCTTTATCCTGAGCAGCTGTCTCCTGCCCTTTTTGTTTAATTAATTTATTGATTTATATTTGGTTTTTTGAGACAGAGTCTCACTATGTAGCTCAAGATGGCCCCAAGCTCACGAGGACAGCCCTAGAGCCTGAGTCTGGGGGCCAAACCTGGTCCACGGCACTGGCCTGGAGCTTGGACCCAGGGCTGGGCCAGCACCAAGGTCTCCTGGTCATGTGGAGCATGGGCAGCTGACAGCTGGGCTGGCCCTGAGTCTGCCCTGGGCTACCCAGAGACTGGCATGCAGTGCTGCAGACCCAGGCCAAGGTGGAAGGCCCTGGCCCAGTGCTGGGGGCTGGAGTGGACCATGGAGGCCCACACAGTGCCCAGTGTCACCTGCAGGCTCTAGGGCAGAGTCTAGCTCCCTCCCTCCCCGGCCCCAGTGGATGCGACTTCTCTCCACACTACTCCTCTTTGGGACATGAGGCCACTCTTGCTCTCTCCCACGTGGCCTCCCTGGCTCTCACCTGTTGCCCGCTTAGCCGTGGGAAGGGGTTTTCACGTGGTCAGATTACTGCCTGCAGACAGGTGGACAGAGTTTGGTACCAGAGACGCAGGGTTGTTTTTGTGACTACGTGACCATGTGGTTCAGGATCCTCTGGGAATGAACAGCTTGTGGAAGAGGTTGAGGCTGAAGAAGCAGAGCTGGAGTGCCTCAGGCGGTGCCTAGTGAGAGCGTGGTCAGAGCTCAGGAGACCGGAAGGCTGGTGGAAATCTTGCCGGTAAAGACCAGGCTCGGAGATTTCTGCTGGGAAGAAGGACCACATGGGCTGTTGGATATCAGACAAGGTGTGTTATGGCCTGGCAGAAAGTTTGTCTGCATTTTGCTCGTGTCCAGAGACTGCCTGGGGCCGTCACTAGTCGAGCAGTATCTGAGAGGAGGGGTGAGGATGAAAGAAAAAACACACTTCGAAAGAAAAAAAGACAGAGTCGTCCGGGCTCTTAAGACCGAACTACGAGTTTATTTTTCTCTTCCCTTTTATAGAACCTGTGAGTTTGTTACAGGTGAATTTGGTTGTTACAGCTGAGTTTGGTTGTTACATCATGACCCTTATCCAGGGACACCTGCTTCCCTGCTTTCCAGTCCCTTGGCAATTCCCCACCCTCATGGGCCTTCCCGTTTCTCGGGGCTACAGAACGTTCGTCACATTCCGGGGCAATCTCTGAAGGTAAACATCCAATTTAGGTAAGGACGCGGTTCCTCATAACATAGTCTCCATGAAATGGAGGGTAAGATTCAAAATGGAGTCTCCTTAGCTACCACCGCTCCCCACAGTGGAGGACTAATCTTGCTGAAGAAATTTCAAGGCAATCTAATGCTGAGGCAGTGGCATGGCTGCTGTTGGGGGCTTTAGCCATATTTATGTTGAGAATCAAGAGCAAAGAGCCCAGAAGAATGATTCGAAATGTTAAGAGTTTAGCCAGAAAGGAAGCTCCAGTAAAGCTGTTGCCTGCAAAAATGGAACACAGAAATTGGTTGCTGAAAAGACTAACTACAAAAAGCCAAGTATTTCAGAAGACAACAGAAAAGATGGCCTGAGAACATCACAAGAACCAGCAGGACTCCAGCCTTTGCAGCCTTGGAGTTACAAAGGTGAAAGACTTTGTTTTGAGAAGAGAGCCCCAGAGCACCATGTTCCAGAATGGCGGCAGCCTAGGGAAATTGTTCCTCAGGATTCAGGTCATAGGCACTCAGCCCCCACAGCCAAGAGAGGAGGAAGCCTGGCTGCTGCTCCAGCTGGTGGCAGACCTTGGTGTCATTAGCACAGTGCTGGTTTTAGGTACACAGAGAATGCAAGAGTTGTGTGGTCAGGAAGGCTTCCACCTAGGCTTCAGAAGGAGGCCTGGGAGGCCAGGCCGCGAGCCCCTGAGTGGGCAGTGTGTGAAGCTGAAGGTGCAGTGGAGACCCCAGAAGGTTGGAGAAGCCAGGAGTGTGGATCATCTGAGCAAAACTGCCAGGAGGGAGCAGAGCCATTCCAAGAAAGAAGCCATGGGAGCTTCAACTACTGGAAGTGCTGTAGGGGTGGAGGCCCCCCAAACCCTTTGGAGTTCACCTCTTGCACCGATTGCTTTGGATGCTGCACATGGAACTACAGGATTTAATGTTTGCCCTGCTGGATTTTGGACTTGCTTTGGTCCCATTCCTTTGTATCTCCCTATTTATTCCTTTTGGGATAGAAATGTCTATCTTGTGCCATTGAATGTTGGAAGTGTTCAACTTTCCTTTCATTTGTACAATGGCTTGCAGTTAAGCGTATGCCTTAAATTTCATCTGGACTTGGGCTTTTCAACAGTGCTGAAACTGTTAGGGCTTTGGCAACTCTTGCAGATAGACTAAGTGCTTTTTTATTATTATTTTGCATAAAGGGCTGTGCATGAGTCTTTGGGGAACCAGGGATGAATGTTAGGGCTTATGTCGAGACGTCTTCCTAAGCCCCATGCAGTCGTAGGTGGGGCTTTTCCAGAGGTGGCTAGGTCTAGAGTGTGTGATGCAGAATTAAGGGTGTGATTACTAAATCAGTCCACTGATTGGTTCGACACTGCCCTAATCGCAGTAGCCTGGATAAAATATAAAAGGGACAGAAAGAAGCTGCTAAGATCTCTTGCTTGCTTTGCTTCTGCCCATCATGAACTGTTTCTCTCTGCCATGCTACCCTACCTGGGAGCCAGCGACCATGGGTTGAAACATCTACAAACTTGTGGTGGCTCGTCTTTTGTTTCAGCAATGAGAGAAGTAACTAAGCGGGTAAACGTGTGTGTGTGTGTGTGTGTGTGCGCGCGCGCGCGCACGCACGCGTGCAGATCCTTAATTGTGCTGGGCAGTTAGAGCATGGTAAGCTTTGTTTTGGTTTGCCTGGAATTTTGGTAGTCAATTGCTTTGTGCTTTTTACGTGCTCTAATTTTTTCCCTTAATTCTTTCCAAAGTGAATTGTTCACCCTCCAGTGGCATCCTTTTTACTTTTCAAACTTGCAAAGTTAGAATTCGGGACACATTATACATGTGTGTGCAGTTTGGTAGCTTACAGGCAGCTCCTGCTGCAGGCTGTGGCAGTACCTTCAGCCATAAGGAGCGGCGGCTGCGTCTGGTCACAGGCCCTCTCCCCGCTGGCAGCAGCAGTGAACGGAAGGTGGCTGCTCCAGCTGAGTTTCTATTTTAGTCCATTGATTATTGCTCTGGTAATGAGTTTGCTAAACTAAAAATGTAAATTTTTTAAAACTAGTGTGTATTATTTTATAAATAACTGGAACTTTCTAATAAAGAGAATGCTTGAATTCCCATTCTTGCTCATATAAACAAGACAAGACTGTTAGAAAATGATAAATACCTAATAGTTTTTATTATTTTTAAGTCTGCCCTTTGTTGTTATTGTTGACAGTTTTACCTAAACACTTTATCCTTATGGCTCTAATTTTTCTTCTGCAGAAACTGGCAAACCTCTCTCTTCGGATCCAACAAATTGAAACAACTCTCAATATTTTAGATGCAAAGGTTTGTATTAAAAAATTTATAGTACGAACTTTGATATACATACACTAACCTCAGTCATAGTTCAGATGCACTTGGGAATGAATTAAATTTAACTCATGCCTCAGTGAAGTGGTACAATGTAGTGTTTTTTAAGTAATTTATGATAATTACAAGGAAATGGTGTTCATTATGAACCACGAACTGAATCTTCCCAAATGTGCACAGGTGTTGAGAAACAAACGTGGAGGGAGTAACATGTTAACACACCAAGCGCTCGTAGAGCTCATTCCATTCCATGGACCATCCACAGTTAGAATAGTTATCATTTCATAACCATTTAATAGTCACCCAAGCTGCAGCTGTCTCCAGAGCAACCTTTCGGGCAGGATCAGCTGTTTTCCCTTTGCAGATGTCTTCAGTGCAAACAGCAGTATCAGTGTGGTATCGAAGTGGCAAGAGTTGACTGTGAAAAATAGAAGGCTGTTTTGATTAAAGACCTAAAGATTTTGGTAAATAACAAGAACGGGTTCTAACTTTCATTTCTCAGCACTTTGTTCATTTGTTTTTCCTGTTCATAAAGGAAACACTGCCTTTCTGTGACTTAATCCTTTTAGCAAAAAAAAAAAAAGACTTTCCATAAAAATGTGCAATTTTTATGTGTCAGGTAAAAAATTAAATTTTTTAAATAACCGTAAAATACTCATTCAGTGCTTATGAGAAGAAAATGACAGTAGTGTCTTTAGGACAAGAACTAGAATGTCTGGTTTGTACTTCTACGTCTCCTCTGGACTTGAGTAGCTGTATTCTCCTGAACACCCTTCTCTGGGCGCAGTGTGGGCTCCCTGGCCTTGCACGAGCTTGGACTGCTCTCCCAGCAGCCTCACTCGCTTGAAGTAACGTGGGCCATTGCCACTGTGCTAAGAACAATCCATCAGCAGCTCGCAATGAGCACTGCTGCTGGAGATCTCATTACCTCGGTGTTTCATTAGCTCTGTTGTACGACTGTATCCTGTTGTAACGTTTGGGGTGTTTTCATGGAGTTAAGAGTCCAAGGTCGCAGGACAAGTTAACATTATTTAGTTCTGTGACTGTAGAGTTCATCTCTGAAGTCAGCCAGATACCTGACAGGTATCTGTCATTGGTTGTCAGGATAAAATCAGAAGAGAGGGTGTGCACAGGTCATGGAAATCTGACCTGAAGTCCTTAACTATTTCAGGTTGAAAAGCTGAGAGTGTACCGTTTTTATATATGAGAAACTATACATTTTTAGTACCAGTTAAATACTGCTTTCATGCATATACACACAGGGTCACACTGTGTTGCCCTTTTGGCTCTGAACTCTGGCTGTGGGCGTCGCCCTGCTCAGTCTTCCGAGTTGCTGGGATCATGACAGGCACCAGCTCCGTGCCCGGCATCAAATACCCGTTTAGAGACAGAAATGCAGCTGTGCCACACATTCAGATGTAAAGGAGAGTTTTTTCCCATCCCAAATAATGAAAATTTTATTTGATTTTTTTTTTTTTTTTTTTGGTACCAGGGATCGAACTCCGGACCTTGCGCTTGTGAGGCAGGCGGCGGCACCACTGAGCTAAATCCCCGGCCCCTAAATAATGAAAATTTAAAGTGTGTGCTACTGAGCACTTTTTTAAAGTAAAGTATTTTAAATAATCTTTTTACAAGAACTTAATGGTTTGTTTTTTGTGTGTGTGGTACCAGGGATCGAACTTGACCTTACACTGGCAAGGCAGGTGTGGCATTGAGCTAAATCCCCAGACCCTTAAAAATATTTGTTATCCCTGCATCATAGGTGATAAACATGGAAGTGTGGAGGGCTGGAGCAAAGTCCGTCGCAGAGTGCAGAGCGAAGGCCTAGGCTTTGGCTCTTCACACCAGGGTTCTCTGGATTTTAAAAATAGTGTTTGGGAGCTAAGAGACAACCTACAATGTGGGAAAAAAATTTTTGCCAGCTGTACCTTAGACAAAGGACTACTATCTAGAATATATAAACTGAAAAAAACAGACCTCCCCAAATTCAAAGACCCAATTCAGAAATGGGCATCTGAAATGAACAGACATTTCTCAGAAAAAAAACTAAAAGCAGCAAATAAACATTTGAAAAAATGTTCAACAGCACTGGTCATTCAAGAGATGGAGATGAAAATAACACAGATTCCACCTCACGCCACAAAGAATGGCTGCTATCAGGAAATCAACCAGTAACATGCTGGCGGGGGTATGGAAAGAAAGGAACCCTTCTCCATTGTTGGTGGGAGTGCAGACTGGTGCAACCACTGTGGAAATCAGTGTGGAGATACCTCAGAGAACTAGGACTGGAAGTCCTGTTTGACCCCGCTGTTCCACTGCTGGGGATCTTCCCCAAAGAATTAAAAGAATCATCCACAGTGATATATGTGCACCCATGTTTATAGCAACACAGTTTGTAATACCTAAAGCTTGGAAACAGCCCAAATGCCCATCAACTGGAAACTGGATAAAGAAGATGTGGTTTTTTAATAAAATGGAGTACTACTCAGCCATAAAGAATGAGAAACTAGAGACATAGCAAAATGGATGCATATTGAGGTGATACTCTTAAGTGAAATAGACAGGACACGTGTAAATACAGAATAGTTTCTCTGGTGTGAGAAAGTGTAAATAAGGATTAAAAGGATTAATAATGAATAATTGATAATTTGAAATAGGAAAAGATCCAAAGGTGGAGGGGTGGCGGAAGGGGAAGGAAAGAAAGGAAAGGAAAAATTAGGAGAAAAGAAAAAAATGGAAACTAAGTCTATGTAAATAGGGAAGGGTGGAGGGGGTGAAGGGCGCACAGGGAATGGGGGGAAGAAAATAACCAAGATACAGCATGTACAGGTACAAACACCCAATGATGAATGTAAACCTATTGTATACCTAAAATGTACCAATGAAAGAATTTAAGGGAAAAAAATAGTTTCTGGGAAAATAGCTATTAGCTAATTATGTTTGAGAAAATTTTAGAAGTATTTTACTTGGGAATGTCTCACTTATCATTTATGACAATTAAAGGTGAGATTTTACAAACCTGTAGTCTGTGCGGCTCAAGACTTCCAGCTGCTAGTGAGATGTGCGCACCTGGGAACGCAGAGCCCCCCGTCCTCTGACGCAGGCACCTTTGCTCTCCTCAGCTGTCGTCCATTCCGGGCCTGGATGAGGTGACATTTGAAGCATCTTCGTTAAGTGTCACCAGCGTCCCAGACAGACCCCATTCCGAAGCCACTTCGGAGCAGGCCCAGGTAAGTCCTCAGGTTCCGGAGACAGGCGTTTCTGGGTTGAACCCGATTGAGCTAGGGGACATGTTGGAAGGAAGGAGTTAAATAAAAGGGTAACACTTTCGTAGTAAGATGATTATTATTGCCACCTTCTTCCTGACACAAGGGATCTGTCACGGATATTAAGAAGGTTTTTCCAAGCTGAGGCAAGGGGTTCACTGCAAGTTCAAGGCCAGCCTGGGCTGCATAGTGAGACCCTGTCTCAAAAAAAGAATCTTCATTTTACCTCAGGATTATTCTTTGTAGATACTTGTACAGTCCTCATGTTCATATAAATATTTTAAATGAATCTGTCAGACTATTTTTCAAGTATTATGAAGGTAATAAATGTACTTTAGAACTTTTATGCAGTTGTGTTGTTGCTCACCTAGTTAAGATTCCAAAAACTTATTAGAAGTCACAGCTGAATTTCTTAATTTGCTTTGCAAATTCAGATTCACCTGTTGTATCTCCGACAGCTTTATTTTGAAACTGTGTATTAATTCATTCAGGATTTACTAAGATCTGTTGGCTTCCTTCACTTAAAAATTGTAATAAAGGGCCGGGGATTTAGCTCAGTGGATCCACTGCCTGCCTCGCAAGAGCAAGGTCCCGAGTTCAATCCCCGGTACCAAAAAAAAATTGTATAAAGTTTTGTGTTGCTCAGCTTAATAAAATAACTGTTCAGCATGTTATTATGCATTTCCTCTTCATTATTATTCATATGTTGTATGTAAGATATTTTGTAATGAGCTTAACTATCGCTTTACACAGAGTTTCCATTGATGCTACAGCCAGTTCTCGTGTTTTTGCATTAAAAAATCATCTGTTTATCGCTGCCTCTGATCGATATGTGAATCAGAAACTAAAAGTTTGTATACTGGTTTTTCTGCAGCTTTAATTTCATGGTTGAGATCTTACCATTATTCTCAGTAGGACATCCAGTTATCCAAGTGGGATTAACTTGGGCAAAATGAAGGACAGTTGAGAGATACGAGAGGCTTTCATAGGTCATTCAGCTGGGAAAGGTTACAGCGGGGCATAGTGAACTCGTGCAGGCCTGAGTTATTAGGCAGCAGCTAACAGCTGAGAATCAGGCCGAACACTAAGGCTGGCGTGTCGCCCTCATTCGCTGCATTCTGCTGCTCTGTGACTTTGTGATTGTAAATGTTTTAGGAACACACTTGGAGCTTGTTTGTATTTTTTATTTAACAGTGTTTTAGACTTTTGGCATTTAACTGTATGTGCATATTCATGTGTGTATGTGTGTATACTTGTATAACATGAACAGTATAATGTGAGAAACTGGAAGGATTTGGGGATGTTTTATTTGCTTCAGAGTTTTTGACAGATTCAGTTTATGTTTGAGTAATCTAAGGAAAAACTTTAACATGATGCACATTCATATTCTAAAGACTAAAATTTTAAGGATATTGATATCTCTGCATTTTAGATTGATAGACAAAATTTATTTTACTTGTGAAGGAATTCCTCTTAACACTTACGTGTAGATACTGAGATTCACAAAAGTAAATTTATTCTAAATGTTGAGTTTGTTAGAAAAAAATGAAATATTGTATACAAGTCATGTTAGCTTCACACCTCAGCTTAACATAGTTCCATGCAAAAAGAGAGCTGCCTATATAACAGGTGCATTTTCATCTAAAAACAAAATCATTCCCCAGTCTTTCTGTAAGTAATGTTTAGTAATTAATCTTTTTTTTTTTTTTTTTTGTACCGGGGATCAAACTTGGGTCCTTGTGCTTGCGCAGCAGGCGGCGAAACCACTGAGCGAAATCCCCGGCCCTAATCTTAACTGCTCTTGGATAGTACTACCATTAACAGTAATTCCATCAGTGGCTAAAATGTACAAAACTAAATAATTTTATCTGAAAAGCTAGGTTCTCTCCCACAAAATCTTAAGCAGTGCTTCCTAAAAAGTTTCAGTGACTGTGTCCGCTTAGACTGAGATGGTGTAATGAAGGAGGAGTTCAGTAGGGCAGATGGTAGCTACATAGGAAATCAACTCTGTCTATTAGGGTTGAGCAATTGACCAAATAGTTTCACTAGCTTTATTAAAAGTTTTATTAAAGTATACATCCACATATAGTTCATGTTTATATTGTCATCCTGGAGATAAGTAAAACAAAATTTAAAATTTTTAATCTCATGAATATATTTGCATTTTAAGGAACAGTGTGTTTTTGGTGTTAAGTGTAGCTTCCTCTGTGTCATATTTAAGTGTCAGGCATTTAAAAATGTATATCCCATAATTAAATTACTGGTATTTAAATTTAGAAATATGATCTTCTCTTGATATTTATTACCTTGTGCTTATAAAGAGAAACATCTATTTAAGTAACACGATGGACCCCTTTTGTGAACTGTCTGAAGATTTACGCAAACTACTCTCTACAGCAGAACAATACACAAGACTCTGGAGCACAGGAAAGTGAAGTATCAGAAAACACCGTAACTGTGGCTGAGGACCCCAGATATGCCAGATATCTCAAAATGGTTCACGTGGTAAGCTGCCTCGGGCTGTCTTGTCTGTCTGCAGCCTTGTGTAAATTCTTAACCCTGGAGGCTTCCTTGTTACTTTTCGAGTCTTAGAAAACTCCTAAACCGAGTGACTGAGTTTTCTCTTTCCTATTTTAATCAATTCCCTGATAAAAAAAAGTAACCACAAGTCTAAGCTTTCTCCTGAAAAATAAGTACACTAAATTACCATAGTTCAGTGTTGACAATGTAATTTTTTTTCTTTGCTTTACCCAAGTTGCAAATCTTGGATTCTTGACAGAGAAATGAAAGCATGCTCTTCATTTGGTAAATCGTGACTAATTTAATTCTCATATACTAGCACAAATAATGTTCTTTAAAAATCTACTTGATTCTGCTATTTATCTGTCAGTAATTTGGTTTATAGAAAAGAATGTAAGTCTTGTGGCCATGCAAGATAATGCTTTTAATATTACATAACTTCATAATTCATATTTTTCTCAGAAATTGTGGCATTTCCTGTTAAGTATAATAGCTGAAGTTAGTTTCTTGTCGTGACTATAGAAAGTCCTACTGCAAATAGTGGAAAGAGCTAGTTGTATGTAATTTTTATGTTAATCCAAACATGAACAATTTGGAACATTCTGTCATCAGGCAAAAGCAGCACTAATACTTAAGACTAAAGAACAGAATTGCTTTACTGTTCCTGGCATATTAATCACCAAAATAATTTAAAAGCAGATGCTAACTTTGACATCCATAAAGAGCACATTGGCTAACTCAGAAGCTGTAGGGTAGCAGTGTGGGAAAAGAAACTGCATGAACTTGCCCTGCTTAGCAGAGTACATTTGTCACTTTTGTAATTCTTCCTTGGCAGTCAGTGCCCTGGGCTCTAAGTTTCAGAAAAAAATAGACTTTGGGTAAAAATATATAAAGTTCCTTAGTAAATAAGAATAAAGAAGAGTCCGTTTGAATATGCATCATAACAAAGTACAGTTTTAAAGCTATAACCCTGGAAAGCATACGCTTGAAAGATAGATTTGAAAACTGAATTTTTCAAACAAAGAGAACCTTTCAAATGACCCATGAAATCCTTTCTTGACCTCACTGGTAGAAGACGAGGAAGTCTGCTCAGTGAGATCGTTTCTGGGAGATGGTGCCATAGGGCAGCTGTCACACGGTCTGGCCCCTCACCAGGGTTTCACCCTCCCTTCCGGTTAACCACAGTCACCCTCCATCGGAAAGTTTTAAGTGGACATTTCAGAAATCAGCGTTGCCTAAGTCTGAAGTTGCAGCCTTCTGATGTGGTCCCACTGGGCCAAGTCAGCCCTCTGTCCAGGAAGCCAGACCGTCTGTCACCCACGCAGCCTGGCCGTGGGGCCGACCCGCGCTGTGCCAGTGTGGGCCAGAGGCCTCAGCAGCCCTGGGGTCTCGTGTCCCCCACAGACAAGGGGAGCTACCACTGTCCATTTATCCCACGAACGTTTATTCTGCGCTTCAGGCACTCTGTCAGGTGGTGTCTAGATTTATTTACCCAGTAAAGTTCCCTGACACCATCTGCAATTTCTGTTTTGTTACTAATTACTTAAACAAGTTGCCCTCTGCAGTATATATGTACATGAAGTCACCATTCAGATACTCCCTAGGAATAGAAGCAGTCTTTCCAGACCCTGAGCAGATGCCCTGCACCTTAGCCGCCCGCTGGCTCTGTTCTCTTCTCCTCACTGCTCGGCCTCCTTGGTGCTCGGGGCAAACACGGGGCATCTGCTGTCCGGCCTTTGCTGCAGCTGTCCTCCCCTCTGCCAAAACACTTCCTGCTTCACTTCCTGCTCACAAGTCATCTTCCACATGAGGCCTTCTTGCCCCCTGCTCTGAGTGACAGTGTCCTCTGGCCAAGTCTGTCGCCCTCTCCTGCTATGGTTTTCAGAGCGAGCAGCTTACACAATGCAAGTTTCCCAGGCCCCACACTGCAAAAGTAGAACTTCTAGAGTCAGAATTTGTGGCCCAGACCAGTGAGGGCAAACCTTTCAGAGCTCCAGTGACCCGAGCAGCCTGCTGCAGCCCACGTGCCCTACATTCCCCAGCAGTGGCCTAGGTCATACGTATTTGAGAAAGAAGGCCTTCTCATAATGAACTGTGAAAGTATTTTAAACTGTGGTAACACCATCAAAATTTTCTTTTAAATATTTAAGAGAATAAATGTGACTCTTACAAACGAGTGACCCTAATCCTCCTGTGGTTCTGGGCACCGAACTGCAGCCCATTCCTTTGGCTCCCGTGTCTGAGGGCTGCAGGGTTCGCGCTCTGCCCAGCATTTTCCTGTGTGCAGCACCTTTTCCTGCTCAGCCCGCTGCCTCCCTGCATCTCGGGGTGTAGGCCTTGCTGTGCGCTCAGCGTCCCCAGGGTCCTGGAGCTCTGTTGCTTCACGATGGGCATCGTGGACATGGCCTTGCCCACTGTGTCTCCCGTCATTCTCCGACCTGCTTTCCATTCTCATGAGTTGTGGCTCATGTGTGCCGCAGCAGTCTGCAGGGTGATTTTTAAGAAGAAAGAGGAGAGCAGTATTTCACACTACCATCCTAAAACTGGAAGTTCATCTGAGTTAAATCTCACTGTTGTTTTTAGTTTATTGTGCCAACCTGAATCCCAGAATCTTATTACCCGACTTTTATTTCATACTGCTCCCTGTCCTGAATTCCATTCTTTAATCACCCAAAACCACAAATCCTTCCCCATGGAGGCTCCTGCTTTTTTGTCTCTGAACCTAACTTCCCCTCCTCTTGATTACTACATGTCACATTCTGCTCATCTCTCTGTTCTGAGGAATACGTCACTGAACTCTCCCAGATTCTGGCCGCATGAACACAAGGCTGGTGGGGTAATCTTCCGCCACTGACTTATGAAGTTCTTTCTCTGTCTTCATTACAGAGTTCGTCACTTCAGGCCTCCTTCTGTGATATTTGTATATATTCTATCTCCCAGTCAGAAGGGAAGCCTGCGTGGAAGAACAGTATCTTTATTAAGTTCCGTTCACCTTCGTACCTGGCCCATGGAGGTTCTCACTCGGTACTTAGTGGGCTGTGTAGTCCTGCACTGCAGGTCTCCTTTGGGTCTCTTGGAAACATAGATATGTTTCTGTTCCTCATGTTACTAGTTTTAGATATTTGGTAGGACGAAATGAAGGACAGACCAGGTAGAATTTTCCCTCAAGGTTGACATGAGTCTGCTAGTCATTATTCTTTGGATTATGATGACTATGAAACCATTTATCAGTAAACTCTCCTATTTCTTAAGTCTGTCGTGAATGACTATCAGAATCAGAACTGGAAAAACAATGACAGTACCTCCTAGGTTAGAAGGTGGCTCACAGAAGTGGACTTGCCGGAGACCCAGTGCAGTCCATACCGTACCGCTGACCCATTCAACTTCCGTCACTCATTTGGGAAGAATCTCAACTCTGTGTGTGTCTGTACTCCAGGAGGGCGCTGTCCCTTTACACTTCTGTGTCCAATCTTCCAGTCACTTGTTCATTTCCTTGAGTGGTACTGAGGACAAACAGGGTTCTGAGGGGTAAAGATGGAAAGAGAAACACGGGTAACCTCGGGCGCTCAGGAGCGGCCTAACTCCAGCTAATTCTAGAGGTTCCTTCGTTACAAATCGCCTTAGCAACACCACTGAAAAATTTCACTTTCCCGGAAAGATTGTAGATTTTATTAAAATACCCAATTCTTCACTTCAGAGAGCAGCTAAAGTTCCTCTTGCTTATCCAACGCATACTGTTCGGTTTTCATTGTTAATGTAGAGAAAGACTGATAGCAGCAGAATTTAAAGTTCTCCTTCTTCTATTGATAGACTCTCAGACACATTATTGTAGGTCCTTAAAGCTGAGATCTAGAAGCCTACATTCCAGCTGTTCAGGAATCATTTGCGTCAACAAAAAGGAAGACATCAAATCACCTGCCTGTGAGAAAAAACCCAATATATTTATGCCAAAGAATAAAAATCTATACCTGCCATCCTAAAAATCACCTCTGCATACCCCGGAAGGGGAATTGACACCCCAAGTCTGGCGCCTCCCACAGACGGCGCTGTGCACGTTTATGTTCTTGTCCTCTGTGGTGAGACTTCTCCCCAGTGAGGCCCTGACCCCTCTGGTGAGTTCCTTCCCGGGGTCACGTCCTCCGCTCAGTAGCCTCTCGGACTGACGACCCCTTAACCGTCTTGGAACCTTTCTCCCATCTCCATCCTGGGTCGTTGTGTGAGACTGCTCATCCTCTCTAGTGAGACAGAGTGGAAAAGTATTTCTCAGTGTTTTCTCCAAGATACAAAGCTGGAGTTTGCAGACCACCCACATAGCAATTGTTTACTTCAGACAGGAAGACAGAGTCCTCCAGATTATAGATGTGTGTGTACATTGTCGGACATCCTCACTAGCAGGATGACAATCTTCTTTTTCGGCTTCCTTCTTAAGCTGCCATGAGGATTCCTTCCCACGTCCTGGCTCTCTCCTGGAGTGTGTTGCTTTTATAGTGGCCCTGCTTCCTGTGTCACGTGCCTGTAAATCTATTTTAGAATCTAATAATTTCAGCTAGTTACTATGAATGCCTTTGAACAGCAACCGACAGTCTTTCACTGGTCTCACAATTACCAGTTTGCCTGTGGGGTCCGTGCGTTTTCTGTCACGCTTGGGTCACTGCCCAGAAGGCTTACACTTCTGGAAAGTGGTGATGCCTCGGGAGACTGTGCAGCCGCCTAGGTACTCACTGGACCCTCCCAGATTCACAAGCTGCAGTGAGCCGGAGCTGCTGAGCTTTCTCTCCTATCCCCGCATGACCATGTTCGAGTCGGGTCACTTCTCAAGGGCTTGGTTCCCGTATGCATAAAATAAGACCAGAAGTTCCTTCTAGATTTATGGGCTATTAATGGAGCCTCAAACTTGGAAATTGTTATTAATGCAAGTTCCTGGAACACCTGCTGGCAGGCTTTTCTGATTTGTTTTTCCCCTTTTTAAGCAGTTTTTACCCAAG